GCCATAGGCCTTCAAGTCCTCTCCACTGTCCTCAGTCCTCTCCCTGCTCTGCCTGCTCTGCTTGCTACCCCTGGAGCCAGCGCGCCGCACGCCCACCGCTTGCCCCAATCCCCGCCGGCCCTGCTGGCTCGAACTCGTTGAGCCGTCTCGGCCCTGGAACCCCCGCTGCATTCCGCCGTCTGCGCCCAAAGGACCGTTTTCCTGCCCGCGCTTCACAGAGCCCGCTCCGGCAATATCTGCCATTCACTCCGCCACGCACCCCCCCAAAAGCAGATTCCCAGACGGCCTGACCAATGTCGACTCCATGTCCGCGCCCTCGAACGATCCGAAAAATACCTCACCCTCCGCATCGGTGAGGTCAAATGCATCCCACCACCCGGGCCATGCTGCCCTACAGCCCTCCCCGCTGGACCTGGACGAGGTGACCCCAAAGAGCCTCTCAAAGGCGGGCCGCTCCAAGACCGCGCCACAAGCTCTCGACCAGCTCTGGGGCCCGCCCGTGGAGCAGCCCCAGCTCTCGGAGCGCGACAGCATCTTTGCAACCACCTACATAGCCTCCGACAGTCCTGCCTCTTCTCCACGGTCCCCGATTCGCCCAGAAGCAACAGCAAACAATGCCTCCGACCGTGGCCCCTCACGCACGGCACCGTCCACAGCGTCTGCGGGGAGACTGACACACTCACGCATTGTCCGCCAGAATCACAATTCTACCATCACGCTCAAAGATCACCAAGGTTTGCTTTCAACCCAATTCAAATCGAGCAGATACAACGATTCCGACATGGATTTTGGTCCCATGCGCCACAGTCCTCCTCCGTTTATGAGCCCTGTCGATTCACCTATACATCGGCCCTCCACTCCCGACCACCCCGACTCGCCCTTCAGCACTAGAGCTCTGCATGATACCATTGTAGAGAACGAAGAGCGCTTAAGATATAGATCATGGCGGGAAGGCAAAGCTGTTCTGCCCCCGAGCAGCGGTAACATTCAGAGTAGAAGCCGGGGAAGCTCCCGCGTGGACAAGAAGATTGAGGCCACTCTTCCTATGGCTGACCAGCCTGTAGCTGCACGAAGCCGGAAGGCGAGCCATTACTTGCGAGTGTTCAAGGAAAACGACGTAGCAGAGGAGCAAAAACGAAGAGATGCCCGTGCGAAGGATCGGCGGAGAGATAATAGCCTTCCCACTCCTCAAGAGGAAGGAATATCACAGCAGTGGCCTTCTCATCCCTCGTCAGTTGTGCAGTCGCCCTTGCGGGGTCCAATTGAAGCTTATTTTGAGAGCAACACGAGACGTACCGGCGATGCTGAAAGTGTGCAAGAGTCCAAGACGCAGAAAACCCCAATCTCTAGGCCCCAATCCCAATATAGGCATGAATTCCCCATGCGACTGTTGGACGAGATACGAAATTACCACAACCTTACCCCCGGGGCCGATCGTGGGACCTCCTTCTCTCGGAGTCTTCCCACCGCAGCCTCGGAAAGACTACGTGGGCCAATGGCAAAGGCACGGCCGGCCTCACAGACAAACGAAGCGTCTAATTATTTCGATTCAGTGGGTCAGGAAAGCCCAGAACACTCTCCAGGATCTGACGAGGAGGAATCAGAGAGGGAGCAAATTTCTTCGGCACTATATTTTCCCCATCGCCAATTAGCATCAACCGATCACATCTCTCAAGATGAGGCGGTACGAAAGGCAGAAATCGAGGACGGTCGAAAAAGGAGGTCCATCAGCGCCGGGAAAGTAGCGAAAGGCCGACTTACGGAAGAGCCTGTAAAGAAACCTCAAGAAGTAGAAATATCTCTACATTCCCAAGATACAGACCAATGCCTGCATGGTGATTTACCACCGACCGCAAGTGTATCTGAGGAGGATACGAAACAGTTAACTTCTACAACGGATGCCACTACCTCGGCAGAATCCGAGGCTGAGTCATTAGCAGAATCTTCCCATTCACTTCGTGGGTATGAATCTAGTGCGACTGATGATTTAGGTACCACTCCAACTGCAGCGCCACGCAAAAAAGAAACCAAGCACTCAGCTTCTTCTCAGCCGCCTGCTCCACTTGGTGCGGTCGAGTTGAAACCGTACGACCATCAAGTTGGCGGGCATACGACAGTGTATCGTTTCTCGCGAAGGGCGGTCTGCAAGCAATTGAACAATCGAGAGAATGAGTTTTATGAGACAGTGGAACGGCATCATCCTGAATTACTTGAATTTTTGCCAAGGTACGATATATTTAGTGAACATTTAGTAGCTATGAAGCTGAATATTCAGCAAGATGTCTCCGCCCATCCCTGTGTATTTTCCTACGATTTTCAGGGTTGCTGACATACTATTGTTATTTTAGGTATATCGGTGTACTCAATGTTACTTACCGTAAGGCACCAAAACGCAAAAAGACGCTCAAAGACAAGGGTAGAACAGACGCTGGCCGTAGTGAACAAGCTGCTCAATCAAATACCGAGTCTGTATCCTCAAAGTATGACTCCGGAGCGCCAGGTTCTCATGACAAATCTGAAGGGGCTCCCAGAGTGGTTAGCCATTCCCAGCAAAGCATGCCTGTGCCCCAAGTTATCTTTGAGAACAATCGGCATATAATTCCCGACAACTTGTTTCGAGTGCCTCCTCGGCCTACCACACCCGATCCTTGGATGGGCAATTCTCTATTTCCAGCACAATTTTCTCGACGAAACCAAAGTGACCTCGAACTGTCTTCTGGGAGAAGCCCCACGCGCCCTCCCATACAGCAGTATGCTAGCTGGGGTGTGACCACAATAAACACTAAATTGCAAGAGGAAGTCCTCCGCCAGGTCTTCGCTCCTCCACCCATACATCACCGCCATCGTCACAGTCATCATAGCATGCCTTCACGTAAGTTAAGGGTAGATTCGCAAGTAATTGCTGGATCTGCCCCGCCCTTGCGAAGGAACAGCGCGGATATCTCCGAGCTACATGCACCTTTCAATGAAGAATCTCCTCGCAAGCAAGTTCTGAAGGCTGAAGCTCGCCGTCAACTGTCAAACGGACACGCCGATAATATGGGCGGATCTCTACCTGAAAATGCTAGTAGAGGAAGTGACGATGGTTCACGTTCTTCGTCCATCCCCAAACGCCGACATTCTGGCGGTGGTCTTACGCGTAGACCATGTGGGGTGGACTCTAATCGAAGAAGTAATTTAGAGTATTACGAGGAGGAAGGATACGGAGGGGATAAGGAAGAGGAGGAAGTGTTTGCTATGGACGAATTCAAAGCAAAGATACCACCTGAGCCCAATGGTTTCAGGAACAGTCCTCTCCAGTGTCAGGAGGATACTGCTCAGTCAGATCAGGGACGAGTTGGCACCATGTTGCCAGCTCCAGTAATTCCTAAAACAATATCATCCCCGCCAATGAGTCCGGAGCCGATCAACCCTGAACAAGCGCAGTTACAACCCGACGAACGTGTACAACATTTCCTCCTCCTAGAAGACCTCACAGCGGGTATGTTGAAGCCCTGTGTGCTAGATCTCAAGATGGGAACTCGACAATACGGTGTTGAGGCAGACGAAAAGAAGCAGCGATCTCAACGGCGCAAGTGCCAGATGACAACCAGCTGCGAACTCGGTGTTAGAGTTTGTGGAATGCAAATCTGGAACGTCAAGACTCAAAGTTATATTTTTGAGGACAAGTATTATGGTCGAGATTTGAAAGCTGGCAAGGAATTTCAGGATGCTCTAAAGAAATTTTTTTGGGACGGCAACGGGTACAAGTCTGCAACTCGACACATTCCCGTCATATTAGAGAAGATTAGTGCGTTAGAGGGTATGATACGGCAGCTGCCCGGCTACCGCTTCTATGCTAGCAGTCTTCTGATGCTTTATGACCGTGGAGACGGAGTCGACAAGGACAAGGAAACACCAGCGCTATCAAACGGAGTCTCAAATTCGAGCACCGAGGATGTTTCCGTCACATCTCCGTATTCCGGCCCCGTGCCGACATCGAGCTCGAACAAGCACTCCGGTATCAAGCTCAAGATTGTGGACTTTGCGAACTGCGTCACCGCCGAAGATGCGTTGCCGGATAATGCGCCATGTCCGCCAAAGGATCCGTATGGTGTCGACAGAGGCTATCTACGCGGCTTGCGGTCATTACGTCTCTATTTCCAGCGCATCTGGCGCGATATCAATGAGAAGGAGTGGGTTGAGAGGGGTGAAGGTGAGGGCATGGCGATTAATACCCGCGGACCGGGACTCGGCGAGGTGGGACATGGGTGGCAGGACGCACCGGCACTCGATGATGGGGATGTGAGTATCTAACTAGATATTGCTGTCAATGCGCAGATCATTTGCTTGCGTGCTCGGAAGCCTTTCTAATTACGGTTCCTTTCGACCGTCTTTTCCCTTTTTTCTCCGCTTTCATGTCGTATGTGTATATATATCCCACATAAGATGCACGGCGTTCCAGGGAGTTTTTACGAAAAGATAAAGATTTGGGAAATTTCTTTTGATTGTTTCTTGGTATTCTTGGGTCTGGATGGGTGGGTGTCGAAATTGTGAGAGGGAGTAGTTTGGTATTGCTTTGGTGTTTTTTTGGTAGGGTGGGATAGGGAGGTTCTTTGTGTATATATTATAGTTATAAGATTAATTGTTAAATGGATTATCGAATGTATTCTGGGGTTTGTTGAAGTGCTGGATAGACGGCGAAGACTGCTAATGCTCTGTATATACTACACCGATTCCGCATCACGGGCACAGTATGTATCATACTCTTCGCTTTGTCTTTCAATATATATACAACCGGTCCGAGGAAGAGGGATCGTTGGTGAACGCATTAAGTAAGGCACGTATATCATATCCCTGGAAACGAGTCTAGTAACTCGGATTCCTGAGATCTTTTTGTATGTATGATTGTTGGTTTGGATTTTCTGTTGAGCGGGATGTTGTAAATAAAGAGAGTTCTAAGTACGCATATTTATATAATCTTGGGACGTAGATAGCAAGGTCTAAAAAAAACTGCACGTTGGTCAGTACGGGGGTCGAACCCGCGACCTTGGCGTCTTCTAGCAAGAGAACAAAGCTATTAGCACCACGCTCTAACCAACTGAGCTAACCGACCCATATTTTCAGATGGTTAAGTAAAGTTGCATTTTAAATTAATTATATAGGCAATTTTATATTGAAAAAGACGATCGACAGATGTGGGGAGAGGAATTAGAGGATGGCTCCGCCATTTTGCAAATTGGTGTGGAGGTACTTGGTTCGGAGGTCCTAATCTCGAGTTGTCATGATAGCGCAGCCTCTATGATTACTTTCAATCGGAGCCTTAGATTGTAGTGACGGACTCAGGAACTACATACGATGATAGTTCTTTACGAAGTATGCGCTGTAGGTCTTGAATAGCTGGTCGCGCGGGGAGACGAGCGAGGCTCGGCCGCAGGTGAAGATGCCTCGGTAACTTCCCCAGCTTTGCGGAGTTCACTGATACCTCCGCGTCGCAACCCTCAAGCCTATAGCTCACCTCCAACCTCCTTAATTCCCTTGCACTCGGCAATAAATACAATATGCCAGACCCAAGACCAAAGTTAAAGCAACAGCCTTTGAGTAAGGAGCTCTCAGAGGAAATACCAGATCCTGGGACATTTGAGAATATACCCAAGATTCGGACAGTTGCGGGGGATTCGGTGGGACAGTGAGTATGACAACTCAAAGCTCTAGATCGGCGGCTATGAGCATCGAGCGAATCGATTCTAATCAATCACAGGAGAGTCAAAGGCAAAGTTGTCATTGTAACAGGTACGCTAACCCCCACTCCCCAACCTACCAAACACTGCCTAACCAGCTCGTTCAGGAGCCAATTCACCCCTAGGCATAGGACGAGCCTCTGCCCACCAATTCGCCCGCAATGGCGCCCGAGCAATCTTCCTCTGCGACTACGACGCCACACACCTCGCAACCCACAAACGCGAACTCGAATCTCTCTATCCTTCTGTCGCCATCCACATCGCCCAATTCGACGCTTCATCCGAACCCGCTATCCAGTCCATCGTCCAAGACGCCCTCTCCCAATACGACCGCCTCGACATCTTCTTCGCCAACGCGGGAGTCAGCTCCGCAAAAGTCTTCTGGGAAGAGAACTCGCAGGGCTTCATGAACATGCTGAAAACAAACACGCTCTCCGTATTCCTCGCCGCCAAATATGCCAGCCGCGCCATGCTGCGGACCTCGGCGGAGAAGCCGTTTCCGGGCGGGAGCATCATCGGTACTGCGTCGGTCGCCGGCTTACGATCGAATGCTGGCCCCACGGATTATTCAGCTTCGAAGGCGGCGGTCATATCGCTCATGCAGACGTGCGCGTACCAGCTCGCCGGCACGGGCATTCGGTGTAATGCTATTTGTCCCGGCTTGATCGAGACGGGCATGACGAAGCAGACGTTCGACACCGCGAGGGCGCGGGGCACGGAAAAGAAGATTGGGCAGCTAAATCCGCTCAGGAGGGGTGGCCACGCCGATGAAATTGCAAGGACCGTGCTGTTTTTAGGGAGCGACGAGAGTAGCTATGTTAATGGACAGGCGTGGGCAGTGGATGGAGGGTTGAGTGCTGGGCATCCGTACGTACTTGGGAAATTGGCTTGAGTGGTTGGTATTCCGGATCCGAACGGCTTTGATGGACAATACCAAGTTGGATTTTGCATAGCTTATACAGTTATTATACTCCCGTACATCTGTTAAGTAGAAGGTCATTAGAATAACTCTTCACGAAGTGTATTCGAGATTTTAAATAAATCCTGAATTTAAATACAGAGTATAACCTAGTCCATCCAGCAAATAATACCTCTCCCAGATTCAATATAAATAACCTCACCTGCTCTCTCTGCTTTGCTATGTCTAGTAGCACTTTTAAATGGTAGGGTTGATCTAGCACCCTCAAAACTCTATAGATATACTGAACAATTGAATAGAATATAGGAGAGTGCTTTTAATGTATAAGACTGATATAAATTGAGGACGTATATTCTATTCTCAGTCCTCACATATGTACTAAAAACATCGTTCTCAAAGACTTAATCTTAAAGAATAAAGACCTGTTATTACATAGAGACCATTCATTCGACTGCATAGTTATTTATCTAAGTACGACTATGTCCTCCAAAGTCCAAACCCTACATTAGACATGCTAGACGCACGCTTGCTAGAAACCGGCCTTAAGTAGTCAACTATGGCTTGCATAGGTCCGGGCTTCATCCGCATTTCCGCTTCAATACCTGACATACATTAGCGCCTCTTTAGAACGTCAGAGTGGTTATAGTGCCATCGGACGGATCTAAATATGAAGTGAGCAGAAGCCCCTATTAAAATATATTAGGCATACTCATAGCGTCTCGATGGTCATCGACCAAATTCTTCACCATGCTCCGAACCCATTTCTGCAGAGCGTAAGTTTGGCGGAATCTAGACTAGATCAATATTTTTTTTGCTTTAGAGGCATTCTTTCCGGCAGTTTCACCTGCCTCGACCTCTGCCCTTACCCCTACCCCTTCCGCCACGACCCTTACCGCGCTTGTTCCCTTGATGCACACTTCGTTCATACAGTTTTTCCTCAGCGAAAGGGGAGTCGGCTATTCGAATGTAACTAGGTATGCCATTGTCTACGACCGCGAGAATGACGTTCCTTGAACCATGTTTTAGCTTCTGGTATAGTTGCATATTCTGTTTCGGGAGATCGTATGGTGTGGTGGCGAAGAGGTCATTCAATTGTGCGGCTGTCGGCATCGAAGTCTCGCGCGCATTGATCACAGCTATCCGAAAATCAGGCGGCCCACAGGCCGACTTTTTGAATTTAGGGTCGGTCTTATACACGTCGAATACTACCCTAAATGGGTTGGTATGGTCTGGAGGGAGTATGAAAGTCGGCGCAGCCATGCGGTCGTGGAAAGGGGTGAGTTGGAGGAGGCGATAAATATCCGAATAGCTTCTATACAGTCCTGGTTTTACAACTGGACCAAAGTACAGCTGTTTAGCAGGCATTTCGGTACTCGCTTGGGTAAGTCTTCGCCATATACCGCCAAAGAGCCGCAAAAACCAATTGCCTTCTTTTGTAGCGGGATTTTCTAATGATGGCACTTGGAGCTCTCCTCTTTCATAATTCCAGGTGCCCATCCGGAACACGATGTATCCGGATCTTTTGAGTCCTGCGTAGACTGTATACATCTCTTGCGTCAGCTTGCCTCCGACACCGCCCTCGAATCCAAGAAAGGCAGCATAAGCCCCTTGCAAGCTCATTGGCACGCCCTCTTGAGTATCGATAGGACCATCATCGCCCTCGTCTTCCTTCACAGGCCATCGACAATCCATGCTCCCCCTCTCAATCAAGAATAAAGCCTCCTCCGGTAACAGCCACTGCGTGGATCCCTTCGCTCTTCCAACTGTGCGAAAATGCTGACTTTTTGGATTTGTTACAAAGGCCATGTTACTCATAGGATGGTACATTCCTAGTATATGCTGTTTCGGGCCATGGACACGGGTCCAAGAGAGCACTCCATGCATGGCCTGGCGCGAGGCCTCAAGCATACTATGTTGGAGATTAGTAGCATGCGATTCGAAGTCCTTTTCGCCGCGTTTCGGAAGGGAGAGATTGCCTGTGTCGTGCGCTCTGAGCCATGTCAGCCGTTTGCTTGGGGCTCGGATCGACGAGTGGACCATACGTGAGATTATTCAGGAAGCGAAAGTCCTGAGTTTCATCTGAGAGGTCAGTTTCTTCAGAAACATTATTGCCCCATAAGAGGGAAGCATCTTCGTCTTCGTCGGCCATTGCTATGGTGATGGTTCACGCTGGTTGTGGTTGAAGAGGGATGAAATCGGAGCTTTGACTCAGCCTCGCGTAAAACTTCCCTAGTAGACAGCGAAGCTGGTACTTTGCCCGCGACAGTCAACCAACTTTTAATATTAGTAAACTAGAAAAAGACAAATTGCCAACTTCAATCAACTATGCGAAAGCTAAAATAAAGGCATCTAATGTCGGTTTACGCCAATCCCATTGCAGCTCACTGCACTATGCACTATAGAAAGAGATGTTCAAGCACCCTAAGCAATTGATAGCTTCATGATAGAAGAAGTAGATGGCAAAAGCAAAGGCCCAAGACTATTCCCTTCCACCACTTTGCTCTGTGTTTATGCACTACTCCATAGATAGTAAAATACACCGGCATTACCAGGCTACCCCATGCTTCCAGGTTAGGTACTTGGGCACACTATACATCACGCGGATCACAACCTTCGGATAAATATAATCTAAGCATATCTCGCACTTGGCTTTCCTTCAGAATGTGAGGTGGTTCTTTTTTGAACTTGCGCCGCCTCTTATCCTTCTTTGCTATGGGTGTCATAGGTAGCTAATCTGTATTGTCCCCTCCTTGCGCACCGTATTTCTTCATATGGAGCCGCTTTTAATTCGTGGGTTCTCTTTGGACAATCATCCGGTGCCTTACGAGGCATGCCTCACAATACGCAGCTGAGCTCTCTCCAAAACGCTAGCACTCAATGGAGAATTCATTGGGCTCCTTCCATGCAGGTGTTTGCGAGGCCTAGAACCAGGTCGGTGGATGGACGAGAAATCATTTGTCCATCTATGTACTCCATGTGGCATACTGCTTCCTTTCGCGATCGCTTGTTAGATCGTATCCGGGTGACCGAGAGGTCGATTTCCGAGTCGGTCGCAGTAGTGCGTCGCGTGCGGCAGCTGCCGCCTCAGTCGCACGTGGAGTTGAACGAAGACCTAATGGATAGAGCTCCTGAGGACGCGGATCAGCCTCAATCCCGTTCGTAGACAATGCCTAGAACCTATAGCATGCTTTGAAGTTGCTTGCTCTCTCTCTCCAGCTTTTCAGGCAACTATCCAGAACTCATACTTAGTCGGGGTACGCTCAGCATCGATAGCGGCGAATTTGTGCCGAGCTTGTCAGTCGACTTTCGATAGCAATACGGCGGCGAGCTGCTGCGTGGTCTCTTTGCGCATCCCAACGCACGGAGCACGAAGTGCTATGGGCTCCTTAGTGGATTAGGCACGTTATCCATGCGTGGGGTGGCGTCGGGAACGTTGAGGCTCTTCAGGAAAAGATA